TATTTTGACACCAGTTAAAGTCAGGAGGATTACAGATAGGCAGGCACAAGTGTTTATGTTTACTAGTTTAGTAGTTAAAAATACAGACTATTCACAAGTTATGATTATTTAGTGTTATGTGATGGGCGAGTCGGCTTCCGCGCACAGGTGTAATTCAGACATCTGGAAGTTCCAAGATATACTTCAAAAATATATTCAAAAGTACAATATTCTGAAAGCTAGGAAGAAGAAGCCGCTTATGACCAGTTGTTGTCCTGTTTTAGCAAACTTCAAAACTTTTCCTACAGGATTTTGAAAGTGAATATTTTAGATTAACAGACATTTATCATGAATTGGAAAGCAAAGCATGTCTCTCACGAACTCCTACGAACACAAGAGGTAATCTTGTTTAGAAAACTAATATTAGACTAGATGTTTTCTTGCAACGCGGTCGTGTCATCAGTGTGCTTGTTATCTCATTATCGTAGTGATTATCGTGGCTGACCGTGCGGTGCGCAAACACCATGATTTACATAATACCAACCTTGGCCTTGTGGCAGCCTCGCCATGCGCCCGTGTCATTCGTCATGCCAACATTTGACCGCACGCAAAACAGACAAACAACCTTTTTTGTTAAGATTCACCCATTAGTCGAATGCTTCGAACTACGGACGGTCCGGTCAGTCAATTATCTCAACATACATTCTATTGACTATCTTGTTTGTCGAGTGTTTGCAATCTTAACTGCCTAGCTGGAAGTCTGCATCTAACGCATGGGCTAAACAAAAGGTTTTTGGATTTTGAAAAATAATGAATAGTACGGAGAAATAAAATTTAATATGTAATGAAAATATTAGCATAAGGATTTCCTACGTTTACTTTGGGGTACAAAAAATTGTGACGTTATTTATGTAAATCATGTTGAGATTTCAAACTAAGATTACTACGTAATACATGACTATATCTACGTCACCTAAGGAAAGTAAGTTATGAATGTATTTTGCAAGGGCGACAAGCAAAAATGTATGAGTAATATGAATGCAGCACCACTAGTGAATTTGCATTCTGAGACAGTTTCTGTCTACCAGACTATATTAATGTCGCCGTATTTTTACAGCGGAAAGTCATTTGATAAGGAAATCTACGAAGCTGTTTGTATTTAGTTTTAATATAAATACTGGACTGGTTAAAAATAAGAGTAATGTTTTCATGAATTCCCATTAACAAATGGGTATTTAATGTACAAAGAACCTACTTTGGCTTTTCCTTAAACATTAATTGGTTCGTTTAAGTTTTCCTTGAACAAATGTCACAATCATTGTATTTGATTTCTTTATACTCATTTTCCTTTTAAATTAATATAGCTATAACTAGTACATAGACCGCCATATTATATAGTACTTCATAAAACAAGTTTCCATCCGTTTATTTGTAAGTTTTGCGGTAGCGGTCTCCAATTTCAATTGCGAAGTCAAGGTTTTTATTCTAATGAACTATTATAGCGTAAACCATTGAATAGGAGACCTCCATACGAATGAATAGTCGGCAGTATGACGTCGATTTATCATTATGTATATCTACGCTAGTAGGATAGTATAGTTACCTACCCACTTACCATTTTTGTACAATAAATCTATAACATACCAATATAATATGGCTGATATTTCCACGAAACCTACATATGTAGTATTGTAAATACTTCTGTGTAAGTTAACGGTTCCATAAACTCCAGTACGGGTTTCAAATACATAGGTACTTACGTATACGCACATTCATTTTTTAAATAAAAACTGGCAAACTGCATGGAAACGGCTCCGCAGTGCCGTAGGCGATGTGCTGCTAGTTTTTGTTTAATACAAACTTTTTAATTAACATGCAAGGTCTGTCAAAGCTCATAATATCGGGAATGTGCAGCAACGCTCCAGTACGGAAGTGCGTCGCTGCAGCGCACTCCACTCCTACCCATTTCAAAAGGTTCGCATTGCACATTACAACTGTTTATAACACAAGCTCGTCAAACAAGTTTGCTAATTACTTACTATTTTTTGCAATCATACATTTGCATGAAATTACTAGTATTCGTTTGTGGGTCAGTAGTTTCTAAGATATTTAAATGTTGTCAGAAATATGAATGAGTCGGTCGTTGATGTGTTAATTTGATGTTTGATTATTTTTAACCTTTATGAATGACGTCGACGTTTGGGAAAGCACAAAAATTATACGATGTCGAATTTTTGCTTAAGAATAAATCTATTACTTGGAAATCGATATGATTTCACAATAACAAGAATTATTTTAAGGAAAAGCCTGACTTAGATGTCGACTTGAAAGAAAAAGAAAATAAAATACGAATTTCGATAAAATATCAATGTAGAACCTAAAGTACTTGAAGTCAAATTTGAGTTTGTGCTAGTCTCCGAGTTCATGGAAACTCTCGGCACTAATGCTTTCCGATCTAACTTTACTTCAAACTAAGTGCTATATACTTAGTATCTACAGACTAGTAAGATACTATGCAATTATTGCGTTTCAATTTCAGGCCTCTTTAATACTAATTTAATGATGAAAATCGTGCCACACATAGATACCGATAAATAATTGTAGTCCTGAGATTTATGTTTCGACATTTATTAATCCTTTTAAGATGTACTTACAATGATGGCGCCTCATGTATATAACAAGACAACCTGTGTCGGTTACAGTTTACAGTAACAGTTTAAACATAAAACTATTTCCAATAAGTTTACTTAAAGTTTGTAAATTCACTCGCAAGTTATTATCACAAGAGCACCTCCATTGCTTCCACATTTCTATAGTGAGTGAGTATTTGAACAAATAATCAACGTCTTCATATGACCAGCGATCTGTTTTACAAACAGTAGAAACTCACGTACGGCGTACAATCGAAGAAATAACTTTTTACAACAGTTTTTTCATTGTTGTCGATTTCATTTGCGGATTCTTGTCAATCAATGTATCGGTTACTCGGAGTCACGTACACAAACGTCAGCTCAGTACTTTGTACGCGATTGTACTTTAACAACCGTTTATTAGTGTGATTTCTTTTTTTTATATCATTTTGGTTTCATACAAACCTTGGAGATATTTAGAAATCCTGTTTTTCAAGAGGTTAACCAAGGAGACTTGTTCAAAGTCAATGCAGTTTCTGTAAATGATTTTCAGTGGATTGTTTACTGTGTACCATGTAAATAAATAATTTAAAGTAATTTAAAATACATTAATGCCTATTGTCATCAATGCGTATTACCCATGTGTGTATTTTACAGTTCATTTATTACTTCCATGTAACTACAGTCTAACTGCAAATCCAAATTCCGTGTCAGTATCGAGAATTTCCCTGTAATAACCTGCCTACATATCTCGCTCGTTCCGGATCATAGTAATATGCTAAACAAGCTTTATAAATTCATATTCATATAGAAACATTTCACTGTACAAAACGTTTAAAATGACTACAACTCGAAATGAAACAAGTATTTCGATTTTCAGCAGAAGTACGGAACATTTACAATTATATTTCAGTGCTACAGTTTGAAGCGGCCGCTTGTAAAAAGCAGAGCATTTAATCAAAGGCTTTTAACAGTTTTTAAACTAAAGCTGAACAGAATGTAGAACATTTTATTTACTTGAACACATTGTTTAATCTATGTCATTAAGAGAGTAGGTACGTTTTCAATTGATACGAAATGTTTTGTTCTATAAAATAGTGTTTGTCTGTGAGCATAGTGTAGGTGACACTCATGAATCTAAGTAATAATAATAGTCCATAGTAAAGATAAATAGATGATTAAAAATGTTTTAAAATTGTGTAAGTTTAAGATGGACCTAGTGTTGTGTTAGTCACAGTTATTGACTACAGTCAATGACTAAAATGTTCGACTCAGATGATAAGTCATCAATGAATTAAAAAAATAATAATAACGATAGCAGTGACCCATAATGACCCAATCAAAGGGTTGCCTAAAGCCGGTGTCGGCGCCCCTGTAACTGTTAGCACACAAAACTGTTAAAGAATGATTCCAACTTGTAATATGACGACTTTGTCTCAAGTAATTGGACCTCAGGGTATTCGCCGTGGAACGAAGCCTTTGTTTGAACAATGCCCTGAGTATTAATTACTTTGATTCCCATTGGGAATCCAACTTTGGAATTCTAAAGTAAAAGTAAACAGTTCCTTTGATTAATACAATTTTCATATGGAAATGAAACTTGTATTTGCTATCGAGGTTAGTTTTCGATCAAACATTTTTTAATATTTTATTACTCATTGGCTACAATGTCTCTTCATTTATCGTGTGTTTTAAATATAACGTTTATGGCCAGTGGGCAATGGTCACAATGCTCTCTTAGTCATAACGAAACGAATTCAATAAATGTTTCTGACATGATTCACCGATGCACGTCGCTGCATACCTCGCTTTCCGTGGACCTCTTATTTAAATTTTGTTTTTGATACGATACAATAACATTTATTAACAGTCAAAACCAGTTTCTTAATGTATGCATGCATTCGTATACATTGTTCTAACAAAAATATGCTTTGTTGTTAAAACGCCTGATGAAATTAAATAGCAAGTAATGTCAGAATGCCAACTTCGTGGTAGTTGATTGTTAAGGGTTTCTGATTACTGGCATTTTCAATAATATAATTAGTGCCTATTTATATTAAAACTAACCATATATTTATGAAATAATTGAAGTCGGTAAATTAATATAACCTTCTCTAACGCTTTTTTGAAAAACGCATCAAAATCGGATCAGGCAACCGCGAGATAATCGCGCACAAACATACATACATACATACATACTGGTCAAACTGAGAACCTCCTTCGTCGAAGTCGGTAAATAATCGATCGAGTTCTTCACTTTGGTGTATTGCATTTGACTAATACTTTTCGGGCAAGTTATACAAATATCAAAATTACGTTACCTAATTATGAAATAAGGACAACTTGTGCGATAAATAAGTAAAATGATTAATAACATGCGTCAATTTGTGGTGATAACTAAATCAAAGTCATTTCCTTAATAACTTAAACGTCAATGTGGTTTAATATCAGTGCTCAACTTACCAAAATGTTTGTAAAAGGCTTATTACCTCGGTAAGTATCTAGAACCATAAAAGTTCTATTTACGGTTTATATTTCAAAATAATTATTTGAATTGCAAACAGACACGCTGCTGAGTACCCTATACGGAATGGGTGATTTATTAAAATTAGTATTTATAGGTGTGTTCATTTGTGTACCACATCGTATTAAATAAATACCATTAGCGGCTATAAGTAAAGTTTTATTAGTAACTAGCTTCTGCCCGCGACTTCGTACGCGCAATCCCATTTCCTCCCCGTTTCCGTTCGTGATTTTCGGTAAAAGTAAAAAAAAAATATTTTAGATAAAAAGTATCCTATGTCCGTCTCCTGGTTCTAAGCTACCTCCCCGCCAATTTTCATCTATATCGATTTAGTCGTTCTTGAGTTATAAATAGTGTAACTAACACGACTTTCTTTTATATATATAGATTACTAAAGATAGACGTTGTGAAAATGCATTATGTAGGTGAGGGTGTTATCATCATTTAGTTGCCAGCAGTAGGACAAGTGTTACAGTTTGGCATGAGTCCCGGTGACGGCGACGACGCCGCGAAGGCGTGTGGGAAAGTGTCCACATGCAACGACAATTCCCCGGGAGCTTTCGGAAGCCCGTCGAGTTGTCGAGCTATACGACAGAACAATAGTTTCAACCATTTAGGATTTCGGCTACATTGCTTCGTGCTCGACACTCGACACATACGAATGCTGAGCTATTCCGTGGGGGGAATCGATTCTCTTTTGTCTAGATGTGGGTGCACAGAATTGTTGTCAACGAAGAAAGCCTTCTTTAGATGTAATGTGCCATTGGAAAATGGTTTTGTCTAGCGAGAATTTCGTATCTGGGTCAGATCAAGCGCGTACGGAATTTGTTATTAGTTTATTGACTACCCAACTTTGGAAACGTTCGCTTTGTTTACTGAAATAGTTTACTTTAATATTTTTAAACGGTTTAGGTTCTATCTAAAATTGTTTCATGGCTACAAGCGAATCTGTTTATTTTGAGATGTTGTGATGATTTTTTTTATTGCTGTGTATTTAGGTTTATATCTATGGGTGACTGACTATTTAATTAAAGGTTTTAAACTGCTTCCAGCATACCTTACCTCCCCATACTCATACGGTCTGTAGGTGGCAGCTATGTCATTACACCCGTCGAAGAGCGACTGTTGAACTTGGCAAGTTGGCAAGCTCATGGAATGTTAAGTACAATTTAAATCACTTCAACTAGTCATTCATATAATAGTATATACATCTGTTCACTAGCTACTTAGAAAAATAAATAAAGTCTAAAACTAATTAAAGCGGGCATTCTCTTGGCGTTGGCTTGAGCAGTTTGCAGACAGTGCTGTATAAGTTAGTTAGGGCATGGTCTTGGTATATTGTGGAGTCGTCTATCGTCACGAATGGGACGAAGGATGGAGCCAGGGCATGTGTCTCGTCTCCATATCTCTTGACAAGTACGGAGCCGTGGTCGCTGTGCACACACCTCCATATAGTTTGAACATCCACGTTGTCCTGGGATCCGCACTGAAAATGAAATTTTATATGGCTTTTATTGTAAGTCAACTTTTTCTTTTATTGAAAAAGAGAAAATTATCTTCTCTGATAAAAAAATTAACAAAACACAGGTGTCTCATTAAGTAGCAAGTAACAACCATTGGTTTGTAGTTTTAGTTAGGTAGGTACAATAATTTTGTATCTAGTGTTTGCTAATCAGAATGGTCTAAAGGTAATTTTACATGTATGATTTAAAATGTATATAAATATTTTCTCCGTCACGATATGCCCCATCACGCGCTGTATCAGCATCGTCATTTAAAATATTTCAGAATTAAGTGGTATTCATCCGGCAAATAAGGAAGTTGTAAATAGATTTTTTGACATTAATTGATACTTTCTATATTTAGATATCTATTCAATAGCTTTTTTACTTTAAAAAAAGGAGGGTCTCAGATTGACTGAACAGATTTGTATGCGGTTTTCAGAAAAGTGTTTGTTACACTTAGGAGAAGGTTTGAGTATATTAATTAACCGACTTTAAATAAGAGGGTTTTTTAACGTAGTTTATATAAGAACTATTCGATAAGCCGTTTAAAATAGTGAACTAAGTGGAACATTCATGTAATTCTCCATAGTTGTTCTGTGTTAGTATAGTTTAAGGTTTCTAAAAGCAATGCTCTCATCTTATAGAAAAACCAACACAAAGGTAAACACGCGCTCCCGAAGCTCTGTATGGCATAACTCGGTGCTCCGTGCTAGTAACACTAGTGTTTAAACTGGAACCTGACTGCTAGTCTTTTATGGCAGTACCTATTTACTAGTTGTTCCGACTTGACAGAAACAACTCAGACTACACGTCATTATCTGATTTACCTGTTTTGTGAGAATTATATTTAACTAGCCAGAACTGGTTGAAGCTTATTTTAGGTCCACGCTTTGTACTGTCAATTATATCATGTTCTTGCATGTCTTGTTCGAAGGGACTTGGATTGTCAGTATATTTGTAAAAAGGTGTTATTAAGATAATGTATTTGCTGCAAGCTTACGAGTACGTATTGTTAGCTTGTTTCTGTTCTGAGTTTAGTTTGTGCATACCTAATTGAAATAGAAAGTTTTGATTTAAATGAAAAGTATTATGAAGGCCACCTGCAACTTAAGACCATTTGGCAATTTGGTAGAAAACAAGGTGACAATAAACCTTCTTCTCATTTAAACTGTCAAACACCAAGCGGTCACCGGTGACCGCAACCTATTGTTCTTTAATTGTGTCTATAAATACGGTACTCGACGAGTTAAGGAGAATTCAATATCCTTAACGATCTGCTACGATTCTTGTAAGTACATTATTTTCCACTAATAGACGAACTAATAGTTATGAATATGTGAACTCTCAGGTCCTCGGATACATACCCAATGGAAAACAGAAATGAAGTAATCATATCCGCTACGGTACGATGTGTTCTGCAAGAGGCAGGCGTTGAAGGAGACAGCTCGGGTGATATTCCGGAGAACATCAATAGCGCAAGCTTGCACCGTGTTGCCGAAACACTCTGGTATCCCGTGCTGACAGGTAAACTTATAGGCACTCTTCACTCGACGAGTCTGAAAGTGTATGAGGAATATCTATAGACAATTTCTTTAAATTGAAGAAGATGTTAATCTCAGAATAGACTAACGGTTAGAATAAAGTATTCATGGCTTTCATTAGCTCAGTACTGATTTATCTATTGAAGGTTTAAATTGTTGTCCTGAATCTCAAAATGTTTCGTATAAACGAGATTTTGTCGTCCTACTTAGCCAAAGCAACAAAACTACGTAATAAAAATAGTCTTAAGTACTGCGCAATATCTGTCTTTAGCCTAGTCTAGTACTGATTGCAGGCACGTTAACTATAGCAGGACTCATACAGAAGTGCCTATTATGAACGTTAAGCAATTTGTCTCCGCTACAACCGCGCGGCGCCGTGCGTGAAGAGGACATCTCAACGGGGCATGACTTGTAACACAAGTATATTATGTTTTTAAGTATAATTTAAAAACGTTTACAGTCATTTTCCTAGTGCATAACTGGTTTTACACGTGTATAATATCTGTACAACATAACTAGGCACATGATTAAATGTAGGCGCCAAAGCATTCTAGTTAAAGACGCCAGGAAGTAATATTTTAAAACCGACTTCAGTTAACGTTAATCTTACATTTACTAGCGGTATGCATTAAATCAATTCTAGAGGTAATTACACTTTCAGAAAACGTTCAAGTTAGGACGCTAACGAAGTTTTATTAGTACATAAACTAAGAGATGAATGTGTGTCGTATAATTTGATTTAAAAACTGTGATTATAAGGTTTTACCATGTTCGTTGGGAGTAGAAACTAAAGTAAACCAAGCAGAAATGTCGATAAGTTTATTTCAAAACAGATTTCATCGAACAATTAAAAGTTTAAATAATGGGAGCAACAATGCTATGAAAAGGCTACAATCTACTTCTGGCGGTAATGTAGGTTACAAACAATAGAAATGAACAGTTGGTTTCTGAGCGACAAATACTTAATGTTTATATTTCGTGTGAAGTAACGCCTAGGTAACAAAGCGTGTTTTATATAAATTAAAAATATCACATTAACCATAATGATACTGAAATTTCACGTACCTTGGCGTGTCCGTAGGGTATTAAATGTATGTCTAAATATGGGCCTAGCCTCTCCATTGTAGGCTTTAGTTGTGACACGAAGAACTGAGCACTGAACGGACACAAACTCTCATAGTACACTTTGATTTGTACTTTATCTTTGATTGTGGTCACATCTGAAGTATCCTGAAACGAACAAATGAACAACATTTCATTGTCTTTGCATTGCAATGTAAACTACCGACATGTTCCAAAATTATTGTAGTCTTTATTGTTTGAAGTTACTCACATATGTTGTTCCATTTTGATTGTCTAGGCTGTTTGTTCTATCTGGATATCCTAAAAATATTTTTATTAAAATATTATTATGCAGGTATTTCATTAAACAAGCGCACTGTATTCAATCATAGAGGTTTGCTTACCACTATACGCCGGCTCACAAATTGCAAGTCCGATAAATAATTGTAATAACACTATCTTGAAATAATTCATTGTGCACAGTTGGAGGACGACTGAAGCTCGCTCTAGGAGGAAAAAAGACAAGTTGGTGACAAAACGTTTGTCGTATCACCCCAGTAGCCTATGACCAGTGATAAATCTTGTGACGATAAATTTTTATCATCTTATACTTGCCTACTTACGGCAATATTTATGTTCGGTTTAAACTGTCAAACACCAAGCGGTCACCGGTGACCGCGACCTATTGTTCTTTAATTGTGTCTATAAAACCGGTACTCGACGAGTTAATTAATAAATGTCTTTGCCCTCATATCGCGAATTTGTTGTATTCGAGTTTTGATGTTATCGCGCCCGATTCTTGCAATTAGCGTGGGTCATTATTGTCTTAACCTTTCAGTTTATATAGATAATTGCGAGTTTTTATTGTAATCACACACTGTTGAGCTTCGTTCAGATATAAAAAAATTAGGCTGCAAGATATAACTGACGTGACTGCATGCCCGTGACTTTGACATTGACTGGGTTTTTTATTTTAACACCGATATTGCAAGTTCAACTGACATCAACGAAATGTGACTGATTACTGATTCTTCGTATTTACAAATTACGGTTCAATTGTTATCAAAAAAAGACGAAGTTGGAGAACAGTTGTGATTTATCTAAAACTGGCATTGTGTCAAACAATGGATCCACTAGGCACACAATGGATGCTTTCACAAACTATGTTCATTGGACGACTTAATTACCTACTTAATGTAGTTCAAGGTTTTAGTTCTAATGTTTACAATGTTGTCACACATTCGGCAGTTGTAGTAGTACCAGCTATCCTTTAAACTTGGTCCTAAATTGTTGAACAAAAACACCTACCGTAAGTTCTGTATTGTAGGTACGTGGCTCAAAATTGGTAAGTCTTAGAATAGACTATACGTTGCTTCACGTCTTGTGTGGTCCGGTGTGGTAGCCGGGAGTGATACCACGACCTCACAGAAAACCGACGTGAAGCAACGCTTGCGTTGTGTTTCGTCGTGTGAGTGGGATTACCGGAGGCCCAATTACCCCCTTCCCCTACCCCAATCTCCCATATCCCTGAATTCTCAACGATTCCCAAACTCCTAATCCCCAAAAGGCCGGTAACGCACTTGTAACGCCTCTGGTGTTCCAGATGTCCATGGCCGACGCCGATTGCTTACCATCAGCATCAGCTGATGGTAACCGAGCAGACAGATGACTGGCTGCTCGGTTACCGGCTTATGCCATAGAAAATCCTAATCTTTAATAACTATTCCTTATTTTATAGGTGTAATTAAATAGGTGTACAGAGTGTTTTAAGTTCTACTAATCGAAATAAAACACAGATTGTGTGAGTTATAAAGAAACATTTAATATTGTTAATACTACGCTCACTGTGCCTGTGCACACGCTGCGGGTGGGTGCTTGAAAGCTGCGCAGACGTCTTTCATGAATTTACTCCCGTCGTTTTCTACTCCGTTAATGAGGATGTACGGAACGTACTTGAAGCCAACCTTCTTGCTTTCGTCTCCAAAGTGTTTGAGTAAGTACATACCTCTGTCATGTTTCGCACAAAACTTGATCTGACCTGGGTGTATACCCAGAATTCTTCCGCACTGGAAATGAGGAATTGCTTTAGTAATAGTAGTTCATGGACTTTGTATAGTTAGTTAGTTCTGTAGACTACTGCAATGCTAGAAAAAACAATCAACTAATTACATCCTATTTTACTTTTTAAGATATTTGTAAAGTGTAGCATACACGAACATACAAACAGACACATAACTATACAACTACACACACTGTCAAACATCTGTCGTCTCGTTCCTACACTCCACGCGGGGTGCGGGGTGGGAGGGCAGTCTGCGTCCCACCGCCGCAGAGTGAAGACGTGTTCTAGTGAGGATAGCGAGCCGATACATACTTATCTCATACGTAGATGAGCGTCTACAACATTTTGGCGACGTCGGAAAACTGTAAGTAATCTGTTTAACCTATTTAAATAAAAAGGGAAAGTAATGCGTTTGGTTTTGGTTAATAAACAAACAGATTCTTTCAATGTAATACTTTTAGACCCGTAGCAATTTTTACTTATTTCAACTGCCACTAAAGCGAAATTAAACAAATGCTCGAATTTTATTACTGGATTCTATACGAGTCAATATTTTATCAACCTACCTTTTATGATTATATCGTAGCTTCAAGAAAAACCGTTTTTAACTGTTTCCTTTATCCCGCCGTATGTATCTTTAATTGCAATAGAGAATGTAATAAATAAATTCATACCTGTTTACCCACCATTATCGAAATTATTTTTCATTGTGAAAGATGAACAATGTACCTACGTTTATTTTGTTTACCTAATGCTTGTGTTAAACCGGTTGCACCTTGAACACGGATACCTATCTTGATCTGCATAATGTTCCAGTGATTTAAGGGATACGTACAAGGTTGCCTAGACATGTAATTAAGAATATATACAAAAAAAAGAAAAATTAATAAATAAATAAATAAACATAAGATACTAGACCATGCTTTCGGTACACTATTTGTTATGCATGACTGAACAAAGTTAGTAAAGTAATCCAGGTAGTAGGTAATTCACAATAAACCATGTTTTAATTATGTAAGTACCCCGATAACCGCGGATTGCCGTAGTGTAATACTGACAAATAAACTCATATTACAATTTGCATAGTTCACCGAAAGGTATGGTAGGCAGATAACGCACAGCTGCTACTTTTGCATAGGGATCGTTGCTGTTAGTAAGTTAATGATGGTATGGAAAAACATAAACAAACATTAAGTTAGTAGGTATTTTAACAGTAAGAAGTAGTGTGATTGCGACATATCGTTGTAAACAAAGCCGCATTTTGTTATTTATGACTACTTGTATGTAACATGTAGGCTTGCCAGATGGCCGGGAGGTCCGGGAGTAAACTTGACCTTGTTGTCCCGGGTTCACAAATTATTTACTACTAAGGTTTTGGTCTGAGCTTCACCTTAAAATTATAACTGGTAATTACCTACTCATTATGTACGTAACTATTTAATAAAAGTACCTATGTATTTTAATATAAATGTCATTTTCCTCTTTAAATACTAATATATATAAATACCTACTTTCAACAATTTTACTATGGCCACTGCCCGACATCAACACTGTTGTCCTGGAGGCCCGGATTTGAAAGGGTCTGAATCTGGTCACCCTAGTATCATGGCATTGAATTGCGAATAATAGTGTTGTGGCATTAAATTGCGATAACATATTAAGACTATGCATTTAATTGCGTTAATAGTATTAATAGTTTTAATAATAGTGCATTAAATTGCGACGTAAGGAATTAAGCATTAAATTGCGGGTCACTAGAGCTAGTAATAAACACGGGGATCTATGAAATGCATTAAATTGCGTAACGCTATATCCCATTGTCTACAGGTAAACCATAATGACTCAGGCGGTATTCACACTTGACAAATTCGAATGTGAAGGTGATACAGGGTCGGTAGCAGTCCGATGGGAGCGATGGAAACGCGGGTTGTACATCTATTTGGAAGCAGCGGGAATAGATACGGAAGCAAAGAAAAGAGCATGTTTACTTCATTTCGGTGGAGCTGATTTACAAGAGGTGTTCTACAATATACCAGGAGCAGACGCAACGTCAAACGACGTAAACGATGGCAATGTATTTGAAATTGCGATACAAAAATTAGACGAATACTTTGCTCCCAAGCAGAGTAAGGGTTTCGAGCGACACCTGTTCCGTCAAATGCGTCAAGAACCACGAGAGAAATTTGACAAGTTTTTGGTAAGGTTAAGACATCAAGCTTCAAAATGCCAGTTCACAAATACAGATGAACATATTATTGAGCAAATAACAGAAAAATGCTCGTCGGATGATTTAAGGAAAAAAATATTGAAAAACGGTGACAAAATGACCCTTGACGACATTATTTCTGAAGCCAATGTACTGGAGGTTGTAGAGAGACAGTTGAGTGATTTTGAAAACAAGAAAATTGAAAATCATGGTGTCAACAGGATAACTACGAAGCCGGATAAGTATAAGGGCACAGGAGATAGACAAGATAGAGGTTGTGGCAGATGTGGTAGCAAGAACCATTTCGCACGAGATTCCAAATGCCCTGCAAAAACTAGAAAATGCAATAAGTGTGGAATTCTAGGCCATTATCAAATACGATGTCGAACAAGGGAAGTGCAGAAAAGAAACCAGGACAAGATGAAGCAGCGCGGAACCATAATTCAAAAAGACCCGAGGAGCAAACAATGTAGAACAGATAGACAATGTAGCATGTACAAGCAAGCAAACTGAGTACATCTTCAACGTGAACACCGGCTCTACAGCATCATGCATGATTGGTGGAACAAAAGTAGATATGCTAATAGACTCTGGCTGCAACCACAACTTGATCACGGACAAAACCTGGGTCTCCATGAAAGAAAATAATTCAAAGGTCACTAATCAAAGCAAAGACCCACAGAAGAAGTTTATTGCATATGGAAGCGGAACTCCTTTAAAATTACTGGGATCGTTTGATGCAGAAATACAGCTAGGGAGGAAATCAGAAAATGCAACCTTTTATGTCATCTCTGGTGGCACCCAGAATCTGCTTGGGAAAATGACAGCTACTTCCCTAGGAGTTCTGCAAATCAATATACCAATGGACGTTAATAGTGTGGACACGACAGCCTTTCCGAAATTCAAAGATGTGCTCGTGGAGATCCCGTTGGACGAGTCAGTAAAACCTGTCGCACAACCTTACCGCAGGATACCTATTCCGCTGGAAGCCAAAGTCGAACAAAAGATTGATGAATTATTGCAAGCTGATATAATTGAGGAGGTAAAAGGTCCCTCTGGTTGGGTCTCGCCGATCGTGCCGGTACTGAAGGATAATGGAGACGTCCGCTTATGCGTAGATATGCGACGCGCGAATATGGCCATCAAACGGGAAAACCATCCACTGCCAACTATGGACCAACTACTTCCTAAGATGAGAGAAGCTAAACTTTTCACAAAATTAGACATCAAGGACGCCTTTCATCATATTGAGCTTCAGCCTGACTCAAGGCCGATAACAACATTTATAACGGGTAAGGGACTTTTTCGCTATAAAAGGATGATGTTTGGCATCAGCTGTGCGCCAGAAATCTTTCAGAAGACTTTGGAGAGGATACTTTTGGGCTGTAAAGGAGTTATTAACTTTATAGATGATATCCTGGTGTATGGAAAGGATCAGATAGAACATGACGAACGGTTGGAGAGTGTCCTGGATGTTCTAAAAACACACAACGTGCTCCTAAAGGAAGATAAATGCATTTATCGAGTAAAAAGTGTTCAGTTTTTAGGACACGAGCTCTCTGAAAACGGAATTAAACCGCTGGACAAATATTTGTCGGCAATCAAGAGCTTTAGAGCACCTACGACCATTGCAGAACTACAAAGCTTTCTGGGGTTAGTGAACTTCGTGGGTAAATGGATTCCCCATTTATCTACGACCACAGAGCCCCTAAAGGAGTTACTCCGGCAGAAGGCAGGAAGAAACTCAGACATAACTGATTATTGGAATGACATTCGGCAAGCAGCTTTTAATAAATTAAAAGCTTCACTTGCTGATATACCGCGTCTGGGCTATTATAACCCCAATGACAAAACGACAGTGATTGCAGATGCGAGTCCTGTGGGCTTGGGGGCAGTACTAGTCCAAACAAATAAGGAAGGTTCTAGGATCATAGCATATGGGAACAAAACGCTTACCGACTGCGAACGCAGATACTGCCAGACCGAGAAGGAGGCCCTCGCGTTGGTTTGGGCCATTGAACATTTTAATATGTTTCTATATGGAAAAGAATTCGACTTAGTAACGGACCACACCACTAGAAACAATATTTGGCCCCAAATCCAAACCGTGCGCCCGCATTGAGAGATGGGTTTTGAGACTTCAGTCCTATAAATTCAAAATTAAATATAGCCCTGGCAAAAATAACATAGCAGACCCGCTGTCGAGGCTCTGCAAACTCTCTACAAAGCCACCACAAGTTGGAGTAGATTACGTGCAAAATGTGATAGAACAAGTAAGGCCGACAGCTATACCATTGCAAGAGATAATGGTACATTCTCGTCAAGATGCGGAGATACAAGCAGTCAAGAATGGCCTTTACAACAACCAGTGGAGTGATCTCACCAAAGGCTATAAAGTATTCCAAGATGAGTTGTGCTTTTATGAAGACATCCTACTAAGGGGGACTAAGATCGTAATGCCACAAAAACTTCGAGACCCGATATTGCGTATTGCACATGAAGGCCACCCAGGCATATGTGCCATGAAAACCAGACTGCGGACTAAAGTCTGGTGGCCAAAATGCGATAGGGACGCCGAGAACTTTTGCAAGACGTGCAGAGGTTGTGTTTTGGTCTCGACTCCCAATCCTCCCAACCCTATAAAAAGGAGAGAGCTACCTTCGGAGCCATGGGTGGACACCGCAGTGGACCTGATGGGTCCATTGCCTAGTAATGATTATATCTTTGTGATCGTGGACTATTACTCCCGATACAAAGAAGTGAAGGTTTGTCGGACAATTACGAGCTCAGAAATTATCAACCATCTGAAAGACATTTTCAGTAGATTAGGTAATCCAGTGTCGATCACGGCTGACAACGGCCGTCAATTTACCAGCGAAGATTTCAAACTATTTTGTTCCGAAAGAAACATCAAGCTTTATAACACCATACCCTACTGGCCCCAACAAAACGGCGAAGTGGAGAGGCAGAATAGAGACATCTTAAAACGCCTAAAGATCGCTCAGGCCGAGCAGAAAAATTGGAAGGATTCTCTCCGGGAGTATATGGTTATGTACAACAGCACTCCCCACTCGGTAACCGGTAAAACTCCCTCGGAGTTATTCTTTAGGCGACAATTTAGAGACAAATTACCGATGATACAAGACATGACGTATAGCTCGGAAGATTCGGAGATGAAAGATAGAGACAAAGAACTAAAAGAAAAAGGAAAGGAGTACGCAGATAGGAAAAGGCGAGCAGCGGATAGTGAATTGAACGTAGGGGAGAAGGTCTACGTAAAAAATATGCATAAAACCAACAAGTTGAGCCTCAATTATGAGCCAACATCACATACCGTTGAGTCCAACAAAAATGGAGATGTAGAATTGCGTAATGATAACACAGGCCAAGTGGTTAGACGAAACATTCTGCACCTAAAACGAGTAGAAGGACTATGGAAGGTAAATAACGAGACTGAAGATACAAACGGAGACAATTCAAGCAGGAGTGAAACCGATTCTGATTAATTAACAAATTATACACAGAAAATTACAAATAACATAAATTGATGATGTTGATTTACAAAAATATAAGTAATTAATATTATGTATGGGAATTACAACTGTATTAGTTAACTGTAATGATTTGAAAATAAATAAATAAATAAAGTTGATTACAGATACACAAACGAGTATAATTAATTAAAAAAAAAAAAAGAAAAAATAGGGGAGAGATGTAGCATACACGAACATACAAACAGACACATAACTATACAACTACACACACTGTCAAACATCTGTCGTCTCGTTCCTACACTCCACGCGGGGTGCGGGGTGGGAGGGCAGTCTGCGTCCCACCGCCGCAGAGTGAAGACGTGTTCTAGTGAGGATAGCGAGCCGATACATACTTATCTCATACGTAGATGAGCGTCTACAACATAAAGGATAATTAGTTTTAAAGCTGAAGAGTTTGTTTATTTGTTTGTTTGAATGTGGTAATCTCTGAAACTACAGATTCGATTTGAAAAAATCTATTTGTGTTGGATAATCCATTTATCGAGGAAGTTTAAAGGGCGTAGAGCCTATAGTATAATCTGTACGATAGCAAATAGATAACTAAAGGATTGTTTTTCGTTACAGTTCTACCCACTAGCATGCCATACCTCATCAGCAGCTTCATCATCAGATCCATTGTTCTTTCTAGTAGAGTCCATCAGACAGGAGTTGAAGAATACAGTCGCAGTGATGTTGCTCAGGTAGTCGATGGCACAGGCGTGCAGCCTGTTACCGTAGCACTCCTTCGGACCATGCTGGCATTTGAATTTATAAACGCCATCACTGATTTCAGTTGTCTGAGAAAATATAATTTATCAAACTTATATATACAGGTTATATAACTACTTATATAACAGGTTAAAAGACTAGGTACAATATAAAACATACGATTACACATTATTTAAATTACTTCGCAATTTCGCAATAAGTGATTTAATGTACCTAATTAATATTTTGGTCTCTAGAACCAATTTAGTTAAAAGATGTCATGAAACATTGAACTGTTAATTACTTGGTTAAAAATAGTTAAAATGAAAAATGCTATAACAATAAATAAGGAATTAAAGACATTTTTACGGATATATTGAAAAGTTATCTATAGTTGTGTCGGCATGTAAACCATTGGTAGGTTGGTAGTTACATACCACTTTTAACATTTATATATAGGTAAATAAATATAGAGTTTTTATAAACTCTTGGTATATAAAATCTAGATTTATACCTAACGCAAGTTGATAAGGCGAAAATTCCTTTCTTGAAATAAATGTATTTCTTATTTATTGTTACTTAGAATTAAAATTACCTTAGGAATGTAGTCCTGGAAAAAGAAATTTAAATATAGAAGATTTATTTATCTGTAAAAGTGGATGGAGTATTTAAAATATTTAAAACTAAACAATTAGGGATACGTGTCTAAAAAAAATATCTCCAGTTAATACCCAATATTTTTTGGCATGGGTGCATATCGGCTCTTTGAAAAAAACGAAACTTATTTGTAGTTGTCGAAGTTCGTTAAGTGAAAAGTCAAAAAAGTTCGATACATGTTCGATACAAAAACTTACAACGAGAACTTATTACAACAACTCGTAACTACGTGACATGAACTTCTTTGTTTTTGAATCTTTCAAACTAAAATAAAAATACTTCGTTACAGTATTTGTTATCGAAATACAACAACTACAAATTACAAAACAAGTGTGATTTTTTACACGACATTTAAGTCATTCAACAAAAATTTTAGGATGAGCTTTAAAGTATATCTATAGACTTTTTGGAAACTTTATTAAAATAATACCAACTTTGTTTTATATAGGTACCTATATAAAAAAAAAACAATCCTGCAATAATCGAGGAGGTGTATAAAATGGAGGTACTAATGTAGGTACTATTGTAATTTGTACCTATTTTATACGCATTATTTCATCTCCTGACTCGTTGGCCGAGTGGTCGCAGGTGCGACTGCCGGGCAAGGGATCTCGGGTTCGATTCCCGGGTCGGGCAAAGTATTACTGGGTTTTAAAAAAATCTCAGTAGTAGCACGGAGTCTGGAATTGTGCCCGGTATATGGCAATAGGCTCACCCCTAGTACATGGGACACATAACATAAATAGTGAAAAGTGGGTGTTACATTGTACAGTGGTATAATGTGTACCTCTGCCTACCCCTTCGGGGATAAAAGGCGTGATGTTATGTTATTTCATCTCCTCTGTTTCTCATATTTCATCAAATCATGTTGTTACTAAAACCTAGAAATAGTCCCTGGCTTTCATAGGAAAGTAAGTAAAAGTATCCATAGGCTTCGACCACGAGGATTACTATAACCCCCTACAACCTCAACTATATACATAGTTATACAAAACTATACAGTTTTAAAGATTTTTTATATTTGCAAACTAAACTGGTGTAAATATCTCATGCAGTATGGAAAGATGAAGAATGCGGGGCATTTCCTCCTTGACGTGTTGTTTTGACCATAGGAATTAGGTTGAGCGGAGAAATTCCGGTTTGAAACTTCATTTTTTATATTGAAACGATTAAATCATGTTCTTCATTTGTAAAGCTTGTTTTTTGGAGTGTGCAATATGGTAAGAAGTAAGAAGAATCAAGTTTTGATTTAAACAGAAAACGTTGTAGATCGATATGTACCGTTAAATACATTCTTAGGAAGACGAAATTACTTTTTAATTAACTTTGAAATACCTCAAGTTTTCCCTCAAGCATAACCTTTCAGGACCATAATGTTTCCAATTCAAGTACATAACAAAAGCGTGCAATACAATAACTTATGCCGGAATACTGAAACGTTACTTAATTATAAGTCGTGCTCAAATATCGTGCCATCTCTGTCATTTTACAAAGAATTTGTAGAGATAGAACTATACTTAAGCACGACTTAAAATTGAGTAGCGTTTCAGTATTCCGACATTAGTCAGACAAACTAAATAGCCGACGTCGAACTCGGAAACCAGCGAGACAGTGTCAAAACAAACAAAAATAGACTCTAAAGTCTATACCTAGTATCTCTACTGCATAGTAATTCAAATTAAATCCCGGGATTGTGTTCGGAAAAACATTTTTGACCGAACCGTTAACAGACCGAACATTTTGTTTCAATGCACCAGACATCACATTGATAAACAAAATAAACAAAGAGTGCGATTCTGTTTTGTTCGTTACAATAGACACTTGGGAAAATAGTATTTATTTCTTTAACAATAAGATTCAAGTTGGTTGGTACGTCACGGAATAATAGTGTAGTTGTGTTACAAGTCTCATCTCAATATCTCCAAATAGTTTCTAAAATCACTGTTAAAACATTACAGGGAAGAAAATTCCGATAAACGATAACTTATGTTCTTATCCACAGTCGCTATATACTAAACATATATAAATATATTATATACTAAACATAGCGACTGTGGATTAGAAAGTAGGTAATGATCATAATGAGTTAATGTTTTAGTATCTATTAGTTCCGGGAAGAGGTAAACAATATTTATTGGTACGTGTTTATACTCAGCCAGTTCATCAGCACGCATAAGTATCGGATAATTGGGATTCAAGGTCTAAAAAATATAATTATTATTAGATGTTGATTGCATACACGGTAGATATCTATTACTGTTGAAAAAACCAAACATTTTTCCTTCTAAAGAACGTTCTAAGTACCTAACTATGCGATGTTTACTAGTATTGTAACAATACACGTTTCTGTGTATAGATCGGAAGGGGTCAATAATACGATTAATTTATTTACCTACGTCTGATAACACAACACTTTGTATCGCTCGAGACTAACGACATATTTGTTTAACTCTCGAAGAAAGTAATACATTTGATACACAATTTCTTACTATTCTTACCTGTGCATTCCCATAAGGATAAAGATTCAGTTTCAAATATGGGGCTAGTTTCGCCACCGTGGGTTTTAAACTCGTCGTATCAAAAAGTCTGCAATCGGGACACAAACATTCGTAAAACAATTTGATTTCAACCTTTTCTGGTTCTTCAGTTGGTTCCTAAAACGAATAAATATACGTGAATTAAAAAAAAATAAAATAATGAAAACCATATTTAAAAATAATGTAGGTAACGTACCTTTCTGTCTACTTCATATAAGTCCGCTTTAAAATTTTGCATCGGTGTTAGTCCGCCATCAATTAGATTTGAAAATATTTCTGGAAACGAATTCAGTCTAGTAATATGAAAACAAAAATCTTCTATATAAAGAACATTTCAGTTCTACGTACCATCATCCTGTGCCCTAACTGTAATCAAGGACAAACTTATTATCAAGAATACATGAGTTTTATATAAAAACATTGTTATTTATGTGCGGGCGAAGGCAGTAAGAAGTTACGAACTCCCCTTGGAGCGGCCGACCCGACGAACACTAACGATAACGCGACATCACTAGCCATTTATGTTAGGTACGTTACAGTTATTTAAGACCTCATTCACAGAATAATTAATGTGTGGTTTACGAATGTGAAATTACTAAAACATTGTTTTTATGTAGAACATATGTATATAAGAATTGATGATAACTTGATAACGCTTTGAAAACGATTGACTACCTACATTTATTTAAAATTTATTGTTCAATTTTATTACAGTTTTGTGTTACCGCAACACGTACCTAAGATTTATGAAACATATTTACTGATAAAGGTTTGTGACAACAACGATAATATTTTGCTAACATTTACAATTTTATTAATACCTACATCTTACTAGATAATAATTTGTATTGCAATACTTTTCTATTTTGTGTTGGCATGGTGTTTATTGCAATTAACTGTCTATGGCCAATATCTTTTAAAACATGCTTGTGGAAAACGTGTGTCGTGTACCATTCAGTGTGGACTTCTAGCGAAGTGGTTACGTTATCGTCTCGTCATCTGACTGTGACCGTGTTATGGGTTCTCTTATTTCCTTTTTTGATCGATAACAAACTTATGTTTGTTAAGTACTGTTATCAGTACTTACTTTATGTTTGCATTTCACTTAAAATCAAATCTCAACTTAGTGTCAATTAGTTAAATCAGTGTTAAGATTAAACACTGAATATAACAAGGTTGTATCTGCAGATTAATTAATAAAAGCCAGTGAAAATGGCACCATGATATGCAAATAATAAAATTAACCACAAACGAAATTATGCTGCTAAAGACACATATAAAAAATGTTATGCGAGCATTTTAACAGTACGAACAAATAGACGTGAAATAAAACAAATTCAATTTTACCAGACCTAACGAAGGATTAATGAGAATAAAAAGATTGTGAGTGAGAGGATTAAATTTTCACGTAGTTATCAGATGGGAGGTTCTGTTGCAATTAGCCGTGTGTTTGCAGGCCTCGGGTCACCGGGCATCTGCTCTCGTTCGCATTTTATTTGATGAACGGACGATGCCATCCACTGTTCGTTTGCACAACAGACAAATTTTATCTCGTTGGCTAGAACCGAAATTTCATCCCATCCCTAGTCTACGCCACCTGGTGCTGATGGAAAAGTTGTACCTAAACCTTTTTTTTTTCAATTTTGATCGGACATGTGCAATCGGTATTTCTGTGCCTCAAGTAATTGGAACTACGGTTTTCGTATATCGAATTGAATCGGTTTGAAAATTGACTGCAACCAACTCCGAGTGCAGCTGTAGATAACTGTACAAAGGACACAAACTGTAGACAATCGATACATGGGATTACAGATTGTATTGTTAAGTTTGTATATGTCGTCGGTTTATTTCAAAATGGCATGTTGCAAAACCAACATGGTAGGAAAACGAAAGAAGTCGCTCGACTAGATAAATATGAGCGTATAAGAAGTTTCGTCGTCATATGAGCGTCTGAAGGGCAGACGGGAGTGCAGTCTGCCGTCTGGCACAATAGCATCGCGGCTAGCTGTCGGGGCTTTGTTACCTCACCTCACATATTACTTTTTGCGACGTACTTTAGAGAAAATTGAATTGTAACATAGTTTCACGAACAGATGAATACAGTCTGCACACAAAGAGATGGGGGATGTTCTTGATGAATGGAAAGATTTAAGCTGCTCCACTCACTAACTGTACTAACTTTGTTGAGAGCTACAACTTCCAACTTGGTTTCAGTTTTGTCGGATAATAATGATGTGTATTCGTTGTACACATGCTGCATGTAGGGGTAGATGAATGACAATTACTGTACAAGTAGACGATTCGTGTAAAATGTGACTGTTATTTTGTTGTGACGTAAGCTCATATTATACACTTAAACTATATTAATGCTAAAACAAAAAACGTGTTAGTATCGTCTGTACTTGGTCCAAACACATGCATATGATAATGTTGTAGCGATTGTAGCATGAAAATTTCATCTCATTTATGCAACAGGATATTTCCTTACACTAAATTCAATAGCCAATTTCTACTCCTTACGAATAAAGAAACTGTTTTATACTAAAGGTAAGCACTGAGATAAAATCAAGGCGCAATTAATAGCAACTGTTGTAGACTATAGTTGTCGCACTATTTTTCAGGGGTATAATGGTTGTCGACGCTCCCGCCTGCCGTCGCCCCGCTTCGCTTCCTCGCCTTTAATGAGATTTCTCTCCAGACCCTCAGTGCTGATTACAAACAGGCTAATAACACTATTTAACATCTCACTGAGTGCATATAAATGCAGATTAACGCTAGACGCCAATTAATTGAAAGTCTGAGCTGTTTTAACTAAGCTCTCGGATTAGAGAATTAATATTCATTTCGATTATAAAATTTATTTTTTTATTAAATTTCTTCTCTTAATCTTTCTCTATGGTATGATGTTATAATTTTGTTGTAATCTGTACTAATACATACTGCACCCATACACTTGCACAAACATTACAATAAATTTGTAAACCTCATGTTTTAAGCATGATGAGGAAGTATACACAACACAACTTGAAGAATTAGATCTACCGTATTTAAAATACTTCAGAATTTTACTTAAGCCTAACGTAATCAGTGGCTTGCGATTCATAAATCTCTCATAATAACCCGGTCGATGCTCTATGGGTTGGAACTTGCTTCCAACTTTTTAAACCGTATATTTTACTTAGGAACTCGGTAGGTTTCCGTAAAGCCCAGTATTCAGGATGGCGGCAGTGATTCAACAAGTTCAACTTAATAAAAACTCGGTCCTGGCTGGAAGCGTTCGGCTATCGCCAGCTCTACTTTGGTACTTATATACGCGTATTTTTCTACCTCAATTTCAAATTCAAAGAATTCTCATTTTAACTAAATTGAGGTGCTGACTTCGGTTCAAAACCCTTCTATTTACGCAGCTGAAAGAAATTTAATAAACCATTTTTATAATTATTTATTTAGAAATGAAGAAAGGAACACTTATTGTGACATAAATGATACTTTTATATAGGAAAAATATATTCAAAATACTCTGTCGTGTCCTACACTCACAAGAGGAAAATTAAAGACTCGTATAAAAGGTATTCACACAGCATTAAGCACACAATCAACGCAAACATGTACATGTACAAGCGAGGCAAAGAGTACGAGTATAATGATAAACAAGGTTTACTTTTAAAAATCTGGTTTAAAGATTTCCGCATTAAGATGAAAAGGGGCAAAAAACGCGGAAAAAGAGGGCATTGATAATATACATAGTGGAAAGCTCGACAGGCAGGTGGTCGGCGCTCGCTGTTTATTTATCTGCACTGAAATGAAAAATTGAAGTGAATGTTGTTGCGCTGAAACCCGACTCACTTCAATATTTAGCTGCATTTTAGAGAAGGAATCATTATCGTTTTTACAGTGATCTCAGAGTCATAATAAAAACTTTTATAATTCTCGTTATTTGCCAGCCGATTGGTATTAACAGTGTCATTTTGCATTTGGTTAAATAATAATATGTAACTATATACAGTTTTAATGGCTATGGTTTTGTTTTACTTTTAGCTACTTTATGTTCATTTTGCTATAAGTCGCTTGTAAAAACTAAAACTAGTACGCGTTCTTTAGCCGTCCTTGTACCTATTACTACTGGGCTAGACTCAATAATATTATTTAACAAAGTCGGGTACATTCCATGTAGCATATTCGCAAAATTCGAAAGTCAATTCCCTGAGTTCTCGCAGACGCTCGTACCGGGAAAATAAGTGCTTATTACAGACAAATGGCTCCAATATCAATTCTTAAGCAATTACAGTCGTAAGTAAATATAATTATAACGCAGCCGAGTATATTTTCACGCATTTACCCAGTTTTCCAGCAGGTGATGGTTCTCACGCTATCCTGACATTAATGTCTCGTTGGAGGGGTTCGTATCCACGTTAAATATTAATATGGATCGGCCGGCTACCTTCGAATTATTATTGACGGAGGCACAATATGCCTCTAGTATATTTTTTCCTTTACACACTTGAAGGGTAAACATTTTTTTGCACTTTATGAACATACATTTATGCATGACAAAGAAAATATTTCGCTAAAATTACTTAATTTTGGTAGCGTAACATGATTTAAATCAACATTCGTAGCACGTTACACTCGTCATTACGGCCAGAAAGTTTATTGGTGGGTTCAAATATCCATAAAAAATATAAGTACCAATTGTTTGGGAACGAGCGCGAGGTTAATAATAAACAGGTACAATAACGATTCGTACTGTAAAGCGGAATAAACTATGTAACCTTGTAAAGCTGTTAGGAACTGATTAAGTGCTTATTATACTCATAATGGGAATCGAACCAGATACACGTTGCGCGGCAGACGTTTGTCCAACCAGCGTAGCGCACCAATCGTGCAGTCAATTTGAATCTAGTCTAAAAGACTTAGAATGTGGTAATAATTTAACAGTAGAAAATAAGAAAAAAAAACGAACAAACGTGGCGTTATGACTTCGTTTACAAACAATTTGACTGCACGGTTGGTGCGGTGGCTGGGCAACCGGTTGCCGTACAACGTGTCGCGGGTTCGATTCCCGCACGGAACAACACTTTGTGTGATCCACAATTTGTTGTTTCGGGTCTGGGTGTCATTGTGTATGTGAACTTGTATGTTTGTAAACGCACCCACGATACAGGAGAAAATCCTAGTGTGGGGAAACGTTTTAAAAAAAAAAAAAAAAAATTATAATGAATATTTTATAACGAGCAGCTTTTCGCGAGATAAAGTGTGCCAGCATAGTTTTCGCTCGGCCCCATTTCATTCCATTCTCTCCGGGGTATCTGAGTCAGGGCAAACAGTGCGCTCCCGGCCTTTGTTTCAACCGTTACTATCGGAGTTCATTTATGACCCTTATCTTTCGCACACAGGAATAGGTAGCTCAGTAGCTCTATTACCTACTACACCATCTTTTTATTTCTCTATTGGCGTTGCTTCGTATCTTCGAGTTATTTATACCATTTCACAGAACACTACTGGACCGTGTCCAGTACTTACACATTTTATCGATCAGTGGTGTTTCTAGTTCCCATGGTTGTAACGTGTATTTTGTATCGATTTTATCTATTGATGATTTAAAATTAACATCACGTTTCAACATACCTACTTACTGTATTTCGTAGATATTATGTATATTTATGATACGCATTTCAAATTAATAAAAATTATCTGTCTAGGCATTTAAATTATGTTAAATTGTATAGTCACATTGAAAAATAAAA